CTTCCAAGTCGGAATGATTTCAGCAATGAGAATTACTCCACTTCCCATTTTAAAATATTCTCAGCAGATCAACATTTGAAAACTTACACTTGTAAAAAGAATGATACCTTTAAAGCACTCACATTCTATTTTCATTTCTTTGTCAGCATTAGATCTGGTGTTTTGCATGCATGTAGGAACAAAGGGAAGAAGTAAAATGTCTAGCATATGAAAAGATGCATTGTCTTGAATGAAATGATACTTCACAGAAAAAAATATCTACAGTTATCAAAACCTTTTCTGTTTTGCTGGGTATTGGTTTGAGGTTTTTTGATGGTTTTGTTTCAGTTTGTTGGGTGGTTTGTGGATTTTGGGTTTGTTTTTACATTTCACTGTAGACACTGCAGAAAGAAAAGACTTCCAAAGTTTTACTGTAACAATTCTTTTTTCATTGCATAACTGAATAATGTGTCACAGCTCAAGGAAACCTGATAGTAAATACAGAATATCAATCATTTCAACCATTGCATCAAGTCATTAACAGATAGCTCCTCAAACTCTGACCAAAAAGCAGAGTGACACCATTACACCATCACTATTTTGTCTGTCAGTGTCAATGAAGAACATTGCCCATAGTGAACCATAACACCATTAGAGACTTCAGCACTTACATCTGAATTCTTTGCAGTGACCTAATCACTGCCATGATGTGACACTTGCTGGTTTATTTACAATTGAGAAAATTTTCTTGGCAGTATGCAGGAGCTGAAAGGTCTAAATTACTAAGGCAACGAAATCTCATCTGAGGCTCGTCTCACTTGTGCAAGAGCCTAGACAAACTCACTTCTGCAGTTTTAGAAACTGCTGATTGGAACTGTCCACTCCTCTTGCTGGAGATGACCACCTGGAAGCAAAACCTTCTTAGAGATCAGGTGCTTATTTTAACAGATACTACTACAAATTAATGATGAAGGCAAGTTTCTGGCAATCATATAGCAGAAGAGCAAGGAGAAACATCAGGGAAAAAGGCAGGTGTAAGAAGAGGTACATCCACCTACCTGCCTGACATAATTCTCAAGTGCTGTTTAACAGCATACATTATTAAGATCTGCCAAAATGATGGTCTGTATTTCCTTCCCCTAGTCCATCAAGAGTTGTAGTTTAATCAGGAAGGAGTAGCTAAGGAAACACTTGCTAAATTGCCAAATACCAGCTGGTTAACTGAATCCCAGAGAAGGTAAGCAGTTAGTTACCAGTTTTTCTTAAAAGCACCTCAGCACCCGCTGCAACATTAACAAAAGATTCACATAATCCAGGTAGTAGAAGTTTCCCTTTCCAGTCTTGCCTTTTGTCATTTGGCCAGACAGAAACCTGTCTCTCTGGAGTCAGAAATACAGAAAATACATACTTGAGCAGTGCAAAAGTTCAGTTGTTCTTCCTTATCCAGTCCTGGTAATGGTACTCTACAGTTTCTGGAATAGTTTAGTTTTAATCCAAAAAAGAGTTGAAGACATGTTCTGCATTTAGATCTTTGCACGAAACTCCTCAGAATCCCTTATAACAAGACATGATGTCACCTTTTATAGGTAATGGGAAATTGTTAGTGAAAATAAAGACGTCCAAACAGAAACCGAATAATCAGCTACCTCTTGCCAATTTCAAGTAAAAAACACAGCACTAACAGACAGGTGAAACGAAGTAAAAACACCCATGTGGAAAACTAGTATGAAAGCAGACAAATAATGACTAAAATAATTACTAAAATGGAAATGGTTTTTTTGCTGTGAAGAGTTATGACAGCATTTCAGATGGTCATAATGATTTTCTGATATACTGAAAACTTTTCTAATCCACAGTTTAAGATCAGAAAGCAGCAAAATACAAAGAAAGCACTGGCAAGTCATTGATGAGGTACAGCTTTTTATAATTATCTTTTGCTTAGTCTGTATAAAAAAGGTATCCATCATTAGAAACATCACTGAACTTACAGAATTGACAATTACCATCCAAACAGATAGTCATTACCACCCAAAACTTTTCAGCTGCACATTGATACAAACTGTTAAAAAACTATTGAAATAAACTATTCTCTGAAAAGGCTCAGCTTAAACAGACCCTGACAGTCCATGCAAGGCATAAGTAAATAAATAAGCATTATCTCTGCTACTTATCTTAATAATTCCATTCTAGATATACTTTTAAACTACCCTCAGGAATTTCTTAAGGCCAAATCACTTTCATACACCCCTAAATTTCAAATGCTAGATGGATGTATGACATGCAATAAAAAGAAAATAAAATCTTTCACTGCAAGTTATTAACTACTGCAGCCTACTAGTAGTATCTGTAGGCTTGAATTTTGTCCTCTGCAATTCATGAAGACCTGCTTTTGGTGACTGAACTATGCCATAAGAGACAACCAAAATAACTTAGCAATTTTATTAAAAATGTAATAGTTTTTTAATAGATGAAACCCACACTGACACTTGTCTCCCTCCATTCTTCAGAACACAACATTCATCACAACAAGCATGCACCAGTAAAAGTCTGGCTGACAAGGTCAGAAAGGACCGCGTCTCCATCAATCTTCACAAAGCAAATCCTGGGCATCTCAAGGACTTTCTGTTCTCAGGATTTACCATGTATAGGTCTCTTCATACTAGAAAGATGTTATTTCAGGGGAAAAATTTTTAAAAACCATTACTTTGGTTTTGGATTAAAGTCGGGAGAAGAGAGCTGAATTTGGAGGTTTTTTTCCATTTGAATGCTAAAATTGTCAAACTCTGCAGATGGCAATAATGGATGAGTAAGTAGGAAAAAAAGGTTACTGATGGGAAACCATAAATGGCTAAGGAATCTGGGGGAGAAGCAAAAGCAGCTCATTTTTTCCTTGTCTTCACTCTTACAGTGAATATATCTTATGGTATCATCAGGCCTAATAATGGAAGCTACAGAAGAGGACTCAAGAAACTTTTCGCATTTACTTATAGTCTGGATTTCCCATACTAAAGATTAGGGAAAAAAAAAACCCCTATGACACTTTCCAAACACCTCCAGAAATTCAATTCATTGGCAACTGATGCTTGTGACTGGAGAACGAATGCTCTGACAGAGCACTGGCTTTGGAAATGTACATCAAATTCCACTATGAAAGTCATTTGACCCATTTGGTGGAGTGATGGAGAGCAGAACTGAAGAATGGGGACAGGATGTACTTTCTCTTCCCTAAGGGAAGCAGCAAAAGAAGACCATAATTGATTTACATATTTGATCACAGAATAGCTTATATAAATAATTAGTCCTAAAATTATTTTCTACCCATAGCATTGATAAATTCAGTAAATTAGAAAAAAGGCCAGGGTAAAATACATCTTTGTCCAAAAAAAAAAAGAAAAAACAAAACCAATGGGAAACAAAACAAAATATTATCCTCCCTCTATCTGCAAAACTTTGTCCAAATTCAAGCCATTTTTAGTCATAAAATCGTAACCACACAACTCAAGAGCTATTATTGTCTGGACAAAATAACCTTACAAAATTTGAATAACTGCTACAGATTAGAGAAAACAGATATAGATCAACAATTTCCAGGGGCAGTATCTATGGTTATCCCTAAAATGTTACATTAAAAATTACTGCAACTGATACAGTACTTTTTACACCTATTTATTTCTAAGACAGTAAAATGAAACCTTGAAGTGCCAAGATTCACCTAATACCATGTAGATCAGTTCTGGTGAATTTTTAAAAAACTTGAAAGAATCTCACAAGCAAGAAAGTGAATAGAAGAAAACTGCTTCACCTGGAATCCTTTTTACCTGGTGTGGTGCCATTTACAATACTAGGCTACTTTTACTACAGCCAATGGTCAAAAAATGACAAATGAAGTATTTTACCAATATAAACACAAGTCTTCTGAAATTGTTGCAGAATAACCTGATCTTTGGAGGGATTTCTACCTCATTCTAGCCAATCAAGAAAGAGAAGTACAAGACTAGAAACAGAAAATTAATAAATTGATATGAAAATAAATTACTTACCCTGGTGCTACCAAGTCTAACACCACTATTAACAAGAATACATGATATTAAAAAGCATTTCAGTTAAACTCCTCCTACTCAGCAATAGTTAGATTGAAACTTTTGGTAAAATATGTTATTACCCCAGTAATTTCAGTCACAGAAAAGGCCTATGTGGATTTTTCAAGGGAAAATAGAAAAATATTGTCCATCTGCAATTTATCTGAGAACAAGCATAAATCAGAGAACTTTATTTTACCAATATTCAAACTAAATATCTGTGAAGTAATCATCATCTTATGGCAACCCAAGAAAAAAGCATGATCTTAAAGCATAAATTGATTTAAGATGGAAGTCTACTTTGCAATTAGTTTAAGGCAAGTGCTACAGGAAAACATAGTTTAATTACTCACTTCATTCAACAAATTAAATAAATCCATGCAAATGTTACTAAAAAAGGTAAACATTTTTCTCTAAGACCACAGATTTCACACAAGAGTGTAATTTTTTACTACACGTTCCACACCATGGAACTTTTCCGCAAGTGTAGTCTTTTGCACGTGGTAAGAACAACCTTTGCACATAGGGATAAGAAATTTTAAGCAAGCATTTAACAAGTTATGCTTGCTTTTTCCTACAAAAGGTTTGGTAAAGCTTCAAAACCAGACAGTAAACTGCCCCTGTACTTAGAGGCTCTCCTGAGTACAGACAGAAGCAATCAGGCAAACACTGTACACTGGTGTGGGGTTCAGACCTCAGAGGAAAGGAATAACTCCAAGATGGAAAGAAAATTTTTTCAAGCATTAAGAAGACGGGTTTGAATACAGTGTGTTAGCACTTTCTTAAAGTGATGAAATACTATTAGAAGTATCTTTTACAGATACAGATTTAACAGAAGTTACATTCTAAAATGTAAATACTTGGATGTAGGAACAGGGGCATATATACTTTTAGCAGCATGCATGATTAGGTACTTACAAAGCACATGAAAAATTTCCTTACCTCCTCCTATTTGGAATCCTGATATCAATATCTGAGTCCTTGTGTCCAGAAATTAATTTATATATTAGGGGAAAAAAAGTAAATAAAAGAAAATCCAGTTATTATCACAACAAAAAAGTAGGAAATACAATCATCTGAAATGCAGGAGTTAGGATCCCAAACCACCTTGATGTTAGTGCCAAGACAAAGCTGAAGCTTCTAAATGTCTCCATGTTCCCACAAATTTTGGGAAAAATCACTCTGAAAGAACATACTTTGTATGGACAGTATGTTGAAAAAAAAACCCAAAAAAACCCCAAAATCTTCCTCAGATCTGTTGGACTGATTGCCATTGCTCAGTAAAACAAATATTTTTTTATTGTAAAAACATTTGTCTAGTCAGTTAAAATAAATTTGGCAATGTCCTTTAATTAAGTAATCAGCTGACCCACGGCCTTTATTATGCCAATCTCTATACTCAATAGTTCAAATACAACAGTAAGTGTCACATACAATTATTCATAAATAAAAAATTTCTAACTTAGCCAGCTGTGCTGTATCTTACGGCTTCTTCTTTCAAGTGACAAACCAGAAAAAATTATACAGCGTAACACATTCCCTGAAAATTCAAACACTGCACTGATACATTTGCATGAAAAAATGACATTCATGATTACAAAAACTGTAATGTTTGCATGCATATTGTAAAAGAATAACAAAGATGACCTGTACTGGTATAATATAATCATAATTCAAACAAAAATTGCATTATATATAACAATTGTGATGTTACTGGATAATAATCGACTAGAGAAGGCATTGTATGCTGTCTGGTTATGTAGAGAGGAAAAAAAGTTTTTAAGGGAAAATCTTGACAAAACAATGATTTGCAAGTTAGCAAATAACATCAAACTCATTCCATGAACCTAAAAAATTAACTTTTCCTCTCCTAATTACTCAGGTACTGCACAGCATTTTCTCATTGACACCAAACATACACAGAATGCTTTCTGTCTTAAATCAAAATTAACTTAATGCTATTCATAAAGCAACAGTTTCCAGCAATTAGGACAGTCTCAGTATCAAACAAGAAGGATCCTTCCTGCTGCCAGAACACAAACCTTTCTAATGTAGACAAAGTTCTAGGTTACTGTTAGTTAAAAATTCAGAAGACAAAATAGTTATCTCTTAAGATCATCCAATATAGACATCTGCAGGGAGAGTAAGTCTTCTCCATACCACTTTACAAAGATGAAAAACAGTGTCAGAGCTAGTTTAAGTTCTTCTACTGGCAACAAAACTACAAAAAAAAAAAAAAAAAAACAACCTGATTATCACTCTTGCATATTTCTTCCTTACAATCCTTGCACTATCATAATGCTACCATACATACCTTGATTTACCCCAGTTCTCACCCCCACCTCCTCAACAATTTCTCCCACTGGCTCTATCAACTTAAAATTGTGATTTGAAAGAGGCAGTCATAACTGTGAGAACACTCATTTTCTGGCACAAAGAACAAGTAACTTGAGCCCACCAGAGTTTGTCATTCCCCCTACTTTTAATGATCTGTACCACCCCCTACTTTTGGAAAGTATGTGTTGTGTTTGTCAAAGGAATAAAGACACCCTTAAGTTCCTACATATAGTGTGAAGTTCCAAGTCTAAAGTATTGTTTCTGATTAAAGAGATAAAAGAAAAGGCAGACTTGGAAAGAAAATAATGTCATTGAAGAACTCACTGCTGGTTTATTTATTCCTACAATGCTGGCTCTTCAGTATGATTGCAAAACTTCAGGTCTCTACAAACTTCAGTCAAACTACCAGCAGCACATAAGGTTTTCAGTCCAATTAGTTCTCACCACACTGAGTATTTCAATTTCATATTCTGTTGATTTAAGTATAGATGCACTTATTCAGTAAAATTGACTTGAGAAAAGCTAATTTTCAGTCAGACAATGAGGCAGCACCACCAGCAGTGACTGAGCTAAGTGTGAGGGTGAGCACTAGATCAAGGTGTACAGGGGGGTTCCCAAGCTCAGGGACTCCTGAGCCAGAGTTCAGAGCTGCATCCAGACCTGGAAGCCTTGGTGAGCCAATCAAGCTGGCAGATAAACAGATGTAGAGCCGCCCTGAGGAGAAGGACTCGGGCTGCTGGTGGTGGCCAGCAGGGCCAGGGAGAGGATTCTGCCCCTCTGCTCTGGTGAGACCGCACATGGGTCTAACCCTAACCCCGCATCCAGCTCTGGGCTCGCAGCACAGGAAGGACATGGACCTGTTGCAGCGAGTCCAGAGAAGGCCATCAAGATGACCAGAGGGCTAGAGGAGCTCCTACAAGGAAAGGCTGAGCAAACTGGGGTTGCTCAGCCTGGAAAAGAGAAAGCTTTAGGGTGACCTAACAGCAGCCTTCCAGTACTTGGAGGGAGTCTACAAGAAAAGACAAGGACTTTTTACAAGAGCATTTACTGACAGGACAAGGTGGAATGGCTTCAAAGTGAAAGACAGGAGGTCTTGATTAGATACCACAAGGAAATTCTTCGCTGTAAGGGTGGTGAGGCACCAAAACAGGCTGCCCAGAGAAGCTGTGGATGCTCCATCCCTAGAGGTGTTTTAGGCCAGTTTGGATGCTGCCCTGAGAACTGGGTCTAGTGGGAGGTGTCCCTGTCCACAGTAGAGAAATTGGAACAAAATTACGTTTAAGGTCCCTTCCAACCCAAACATCCTATGATTCTATGAATTTCAATAAAAGCAGCAAGTTTTCTCTAGGCTCTTCAGAGCAATTATAGAACAAACCACTATTTATAGGGTTTCTTCAGTTAGCAATGAAAATGTGTTACATATCACAATAGGTAAGATTGCTTTTAATGCAGAATAACCTGATTCTTTTTTCTCTTGTACTGCTTGTAAGACTTTCACATACCACCTAAACTTGCAGTCTAATACAGCAAGCTTGTATTTTAAAAAGGGTGGTGTAAGTAATGCAAAACTACTTCAAGACAGAGCTTCCAAATAAGTCTTGTGTAAGCTAGAAGACATGGGCACCTTCTGCCTGGCTTCTAACCTCTGCAGCCAAACTGCCCTGAGAAGGTTTTCCTCCCCATTTCCTTTAAAAATAACAGCAAATCTAACCCAGCAAGTCGGAGAAGTTTAAACATCACTGAACATCTTTAGTAGCACTGACAAAAAGAGACAAGGGTATAGATCAATAACCTCTCAGGAATGCTGACAGTCTTAAATCAACTGCATCTCCAAATGCTACTATCAAAATAAATTCCCACTTAGTAACTACTGACTTACTACATACATGTTCAAACAACAACAGTCCCAAAGCAAGAAGTAGAGAAAATATTTATTTATAAAATACAAGATGTCCTTACACTTTCTTGTAAACCGGTATTGTAATTTAGAACAGTAGTTGTAGAGTGAAAGGCTATCAACATGCATGCTTTTCAAAACATCATGTCCACAGCCACTTTGTAGCTCAGAGCTTAGTAGCTCCACTTAAAGAGTTTCAATGGAAATGCTTCAACTTCTTCTCATAGTGTCACCCAAAGAGTTCAGGAATTTAATCCAGAATTATTTCAGTCCTGAGAGTTCATTACATGAGAAAAGCTAAAAAGGCCACATTACCTATATTAAATGGCCATATGGGAAAAAAGAAATGAAAGCTATTAAAGTAAGTGTAGAACGGTTCTTGACAAGAAAACTTACCTGTATCTTAAATATAAAGCTTTGAGATGACCTCCTCTAAATCATGTAAGTGGACAGGAGATGTAAGAGCAGGACAGCTGCAGCGACTAAATGCTGTACTTTACAACCTCTTAGTAGCAGAAATCTTTCATATCATAGCAATTAATTTCTGCCATTCTTGGCATTACCATTAGGCTAGGATAATTACAAACTCTAAGTCTACTTTATTGTAACATTTACAAGTGCTCAGTCTTGATTTCCTACAGTGACAGCAGAGTAACAAGATCAAATCAGCCAGATCAGCTCAAAGAAAAAAATCTAATAAATTTTCCTCCAGAACTGGTTTATGAAATGTTCTATTTCCAAGCTTTCTGTAGAAAGTCACCTGAGCCTCTTCTAATGCATCCTGTGTGTTTCCACCACGTATCTTGGGTTCTGCACAGCTTCTGTATTCCCTTAAACACATTATAAGCTGTCTACAAGTATAGCTTCAAAAGAAATAGTAATGCTACTGAAAGGGTACAAAGTTTCTGTTTCTATTCCCCTTGTCACAAAAGAATTTAATAAATTTCAGAGCACCTTTATGAGACACATGATGAGTACCACAGTTGAGATTCTAATCTGATCTGCCACTAAAAGAATGAATAGAAAAGTTGACAAGTATCCTACCCCAAAATAACTAATAATAATCTTTTAACAGCACAGTACCTAGAACTAAAACGACTCCTAACAACATAGCTACCACATGCTTAATTGTTCATTCTGTATAAACAAAACTAATCTATAATGGAGGACACATACATGGGATGAGGATGCTCCTTAAACATAAAGGCACATCTCAACTTTTTTTTTTTTAATTCAAAGCTTTTCATCCATGGACTTAATTCTTCTGTGATACTCTGGAAGAAAATACACAGTATTATTTTGAAAAACACCAAAGAAAATATTTTCAGAACATTCCAGAGGATGTAGGGGTAATAAACCAGAATTTCTTGAACTCCTTTCTCAGAGGCATGCATTTCATACAGAAAGCAGGAAGAGCCTAAACTGATCTGACAGAAAGCCTGCACAAACAGTTTTGTAACAAAAAAAAAAAAAAAAGGAGAAATTGCAAATATGTGAAGCAGCAAAAGAACATCCAAGTGCTTGATAACCCTCAATAATCAAACCTCTTTGAACCTTATAAACTTTGGGACATGAAAAACTTTCCACACGGGACACTGAAGTAACGCCCAACACTTTGAGGCTAGAAGTGACCAACTTAAAAGGCCAAATGTGACACCACAAGTTACTAGAACTCAGTGGTTTAGAAAACTTTCCAAATTTCTTAATACTGAACACATACACACGTATATATATGTGTGTGTGCGCATACATATGTATTTGTCTCTAGACTGTAAAACAGACTACAGACTATAGACTGTAAAACAATTCAAGCCCCTGTACTTTACCTACGAGTACCAATTCATTTCCTATTTCTCACAACTTCATATCATAGATACACAGCACTGGAGCCACATACCTGCACGACTGAAGTCGCACACCCAAGGGACGTATCCCCTCTATCTCCACCTTACTGGAAACGCCATCTTCACCCCTCCACTCAAAGAGACCCTTTCTCCCCAAGCCGTGGGATTCTGTTCCCTGCCCAGGCCCCTCCACACAACCGCAACTCCTCCCGCGGGCAGGAACGGGTGGGGCGGGGGGTGTGCGGGTTGCCTTTCCCCCAGCACCGAGAGCCTCCTTCCCCCGCGGTGGGCACACGGGGCAGGACAGGGACAGGCACTCCCCTGGCCCACGGAGACTCCCTGACAGTTTCGGGAGAGGAACCCCACAAAACCGCCCACCCCGCCTGCGACCACCCCACGCCCGCCCCGAAAGTTCCAGCGTGGCCCCCCCAGCCCCGGCCCGCTCCTCCGCAGCCCTCTAAGCCGTCGGGGCGGAGAAGACGCCCGGCCCGCACGCCCGCACCCCCTCCTCACCCCGCAGCCCACACCGCAAATACCCCGCAGGCGGGCGGGGGGGGGCGCCGGGCCCGCCCCGCCCCCGAGCCCCTCGGCTGCCCCCCAGCCCCTCGGCGGGGCAAGGCCGGGACCCCCACGCCCGCCCCGGCCCCGCACTGACCTGACGGGGGGGGCGCGGCCGCCGCTCGGGGCTACAGCGGGGGCTCCCCCCGCCGCCGCCGACCCTCCGCTCCCCGGCCCGTCCTTCTCCGAGCGCCACCGCAGGGCAGAGAGCAGAGGAGTCGGAAACGCGAGGCGGAGGGAAACACGGGCCCCCTCTTCCCTTTCCAAAGGAAATTTTAAAAAGAAAAACGGGGGATTTAAAGGGCTCGGCCCGGAGTTTAAAACAAAGAGGCGGAAATAGCCGAGTGCGGCCCGAGCGGAGCCGAGCGGGGGCGCCGCGCTCGCGGCGCATGCGCGCGGGGCGCTCACCCGGGCACGGCGCCGGCCGCCCCCTCCTTCCCTCCCCCGGGCAGCGGGGCCGGCGAAAGGGGGTCTGGAGCTCCCGACAGGCCTGGGCCCGAGCCATGTCCCGGTCACAGAACCGCACAGTACGCTGGGTTGGAAAGGAGCCATCAGGATCATTGAGTCCAACTCTCATCCTTGCACAGGACACCCCTGAGAAGCACACCATGTGCCTGAGAACATTGTCCAAAGGCTTCTTGAGCTCTGTCATGGTTGGTGCTGTGACCACTTCCCTGGGGGACCTGTTTCAGTGCCCAAACACCCTCTGGGTGAAGAACCCTTTCCTAATACCTAGCTTAAAGCACTTCTGACGAAACTTCAGGCCATTCCCTCGGGTCCTGTCACTGGTCACCACAGAGGAGATATCAGTGCCTGCCCGTGTGTCTCCCCTGGTGAGGATGTTGGAAACTCCAATGCCCCCTCAGTCTCCTTCAGGCTGAACAGACCAACTGACCTCAGCCACTGCTGGAATGGCTTCCCCTCAAAGCTGTCTTCACTGCCCTCCTTTGGATATTAATGGCTTGCTACTTTTCTTACACTGAGGTGTCTAGAACTGTACATAACCCTCAAGGTGAGGCCACACCAGCAGAGAGCAGGGGTAGGAGTAGAGGCTGTGTGCCCAACCTTGAAAAATCCATGCAACTTGTGAGCAGGAAGGTGATATCAGCAAAGGTGGTTGGCTTTTAGGCAGGATGTGCCTGTGTGTTGCTCCAAGCTGCCTCTTCTCGCTGAAAGGTTTTCCTCAAAAGCGCACAGGTGTGTTTCCAACTGATGAGAGTGGAAACTTGTGTAGGAGCTTGCTGGAAGGAGAAATTTTAATAAGAGTGCTGGTCACAGGACACACTGTATCAAACTGTAGGTGGCTCAAAACACTCCTGACTGATAAATGACAAGATCCTGTCTTCCTGAAGGTGTGAATTCATAGGTCAAAGAGCTTGCACGAAGTTTGGGAAGCCCATGCCGAGTTCAAGTTTGTACCAAACAGCTGAACATTTAACTTGTAAAGGCAAGTACTTAAAAATTCACCTGTCCAAAGACTAAAGACACCAAACCAATCTTCACCTTCTCAGATATACACATATTTTGAATGTGATCCTTTAAAATATCTGTGTATTTCCCTCTTTTCTTTCTTCCTTTCCAACAAAGAATGAGCCATGAGACAATCTTCCACCTTGTCTAAAAATGCCATTGGACATGGGCTATCTGATATGGCACAAGCCCTCCATGTTCTACAAACTACAGAGCTTTTATTGTGTGCCAAGACAGGGGCTGTGCTTGGCTCTGGGAGCTATGTTTTCCAGATGCTAAGCCTGAGTTAATGGAAAATATGTCAGCATTTTAGATTTGCTTTGTTTCAGTTCAAGGGTTATGTAGTTACATGAGTGCATCTTGTCTATCTGAAATATAAATTCTGTTTCCAGTTTAACCACAAATTACTTTGTTGTGTGTTGTAGAAAATAATGGGGCTTCCCATCTGACCCATGGAACTGGGGTTCAAGTAGCCAGAAGAAAAAGTAACAAACTATAAGTATGTACAGCAAATTATAAACTGTATGCCTGCTTTTCTTGTTTGGTTGGCTTGTTTTTTCCTAGTGTTTCCAGACCAAACACTACAAATTGGGAAAACCATTAAGGCCATGGTGTATAGATGTTGACTTTCTCTTGCTATAGAATTTTTTTAGAAGATGGCACCTTAAGCAAGATGATACGACCGTGTCTACTACAACAATTTACTGTAAAATACCCACTGTGACAAGATTTGTGACCCTCAGAGCACAGGCAGTGATTTACTCTCTTTGCAACCTCATCACCCAACATCGGTGCTAATGCCTTTGGCAGTACCATTAAAGTGTGTGTTAGACACACTTAAGTGGTGTTTCTGAAATACAAGCTTTACCAGTGACTAAAGCATCTAATATCACAATTAGAGTGCCTTTTCTGAACTACAACACTGGATATTAGAAGAGAAGTGAAACTTTTTGTTTGCATTGCAGTCAGTGAGCCATGGTCAAACTACTGAATTTCAGAGAGTGACTTGATGAGAACTAGAAACTGCATTTAAAACAATCTTGAAGTTCACTTTACATGCATTAGTCTTCACAATTTTCACCCAAATAAGAGCATGATGTGAACATGGGTAAATTAAATCTCTACCTTCCAGAAACATATATTTCCTCACTAAAACAATTCATAGAACAGAATCTGAGAACTTCTTGACAGAAAAGAACCCCAAACATCTCAGGTAAAAGAAGTTTTCTTTACTTTCTTTAGGTCTTCTAACAGTGAAAAGGAACTGGTCAGCATGAGGATGTTAATAGTAATGGTATAAACAAAGAAATTACTAGAAACCCAACAAAGTAACACATTTTCATAAGCAAAGCAGAAAAGTAGCAAATAAAATTAATAAAGCACAAAGTAGGAAAATAAAGGACATAATTACTCTAATTTAAGACTTACTATGATAAAGTGTTTAGAAAGAGAAATATTGAGAACTAATATCCAGTAATTTCTCAGAGCACAACAGCTACATCAATTCTGTAGGTCTGTGAATGAGACTGTTTGCGAATGCTGAGAGAGTCTGTTGATGCCATTGCAAGGCTACTCCCCAACTATTACCTTTTTGAGATCATAATGACCAGGCAAGTCCCCCAGTACTGGAGAATAGTAAATATTTCACCTGTCTTTGAAAACAGTAAGAAAGATAATTTAGAGAACTGCAGCCTCACTTTGGTCCCTGAGAATCATGGAGAAATCAAAGATCTCAGGGCTAGGCTCAAACATCTTGCAGACTAAAACCAAAGAGCTCAAGCATTGACCAGCTTATTTTTTATACACATATGCACCAGGCATAAATTATTTAAGCACCATATTCTAATGGGTCAGTCTATAAGATATAGGCATTATCAGAACACACACACAGAATGTGTGAGGTTGCGAGGGGCATTTGGAGATCACTCAAGATCCCTGCACAAAGGAGGATAAGGTGGAGCAGCAGTGTCGCTTCTTTAGTTATCATCAGACCAAGCACTGCCATTCTTACATTATAGGTTCTGCATGGTCATCCTAAGGACTGAATGATAACTTCACTCTTGCCCGGGAACCACTGGAAGACAGTCATTTGAATGTCAGTTTCACCACAGTGATATTCTGGCTTCAGAGACGTGGTATATTAATCCTCTGATCTAAAAACAAAGACCCAGAGGTCCTGTACAGGAGGAGCTATGAGCTACCACCCCCTACAGACACAGCTGCATAGGTGACAGGCCAATCAACCAGCAAACTGTCTTGGCAAGAGATTATTTGGAGGTTCACTGCTTCCCAAATTCTGACATTCTGAAATATTGTTCAGCATTTTGTTATGGATGTTACCTGAGCATAAGCATAATAACCATAAGTTTTTAACACTATAACTGTTATGCAACCTCCTGCATCTATAGAATAGTAGGAAATTCCTGTTTCTTTCAATAACCTTTAATATTTTAAGTTTGGTGAGTTGGTATCTTTCTCCCTGCTGTCCTTGCTAAAGAATTGATAAAGCATTTTCTGAGTCTCTAGCTGAACAGTTTTATTCCTAAACTGATCTGCATAATTGTTTTTTATGAATTAAGGATACTATAAAATTCAGAGAGGTTTAAACCCAACTTAACTATACCCTCAATCATTCCAACCCACTTGAGCTGTTCAATCGTCACTGTTACTTGGTTTTCAAGGTCCTCCATTTCCCATGGAAAAAAAATCCTTCATTTTCTCTCTGGTCTCAATGTCAAATAAATCAAGGTCATTCCCAAGTCAAATCCACTGAACTGTATGAGACAAACTGATTCAGCAATCATTTGTAAAAGAGGAAAAAGCAAATACCAGACGTTTAAGTATCTCTAGTCTTACAAATATTTGCTCTGGTAAGTGAAAGATTAATGCTCTTGCCAGAGCATGTAACTGTTAGCTAGCTATTAGAAACTTCTGGTTATGAAGTCTTCCTCACCAGAAAACCTCTTAATGTTTCAAAGATGAGCATTAGATAGAAAAGTGGAAATAGTGAGGGATTTAGTGACACAAAAAATAAGAATCTTTTGCCACTAATTACTTACATAAACACAGCTTAGATCCCTTCAACGATCTGGGTTTTAAACACAAAAGCTTTAGCAATAGACTTACTTTAAAATGATGAAATTTATACTGAGGGCAGGGGGCAGCAGGGAGAAGCAAAACAGAAACTCTTTCTCAGGTCCCAGGAGTTCTGCATCTTGGATATTCTGTTCTCAGAACCTGGAGCTTGCTCCAGTAAGAGGAAAGTTATCAGCAGTCTACTGCATTGTGCAAGGCAATGTGTGGTCCCTGTGACTGTCACCTATAGATATTGCATTGAAACTGAGGAGGAAGTTCTCTTCCTGACTGGTGCTTACTTTCCTGACTTCTTCATGACCATCGATTTTAATTTGGCTCTAGTTTGCCACAGTGAACACTGACAAGAACACTGGTCAGTCTTTTGATTGACTACACAAGTACAAACCACAAAGATCAATATTTAAATTCCAGCAATTTAGTTTCAGACACACTTCCATGCAACCTGTACAAAATTAAAAGCAGAGGTGGTAAGCCAGAAGTAAAGTCTGTAAAGAGGAGCAGGCTCCAGAAAAAAGGAACACTTAGAAAAAGGGATAAAAATAATTTCTTCTTGAGAATCCAGCATGTGCTGATTTACCACTTAGACACGCACAAGTCCATGGGACCAGATGGTACCACCCAAGGGTACTGAGGGAGCTGGTGGAGTCACTGAGTCATTTTCAATTATTTACCAGCAGTTGTGGCTAAAGAGGAAGGTCCC